TTAACAGAATAATTTTATAAATATATTTTCCACTTTTCATCTTTAGGTGACAATAATTTGAAAAAATGTAGCAGTAGTATAATTGAAAATGAAAGAGAAAATCTGAATAGTGATAATGGTAATTTCTAGTTATTTTTCTATACTTATTTACCTAAACTATTTTAAAAATGAAAACTTCCCTTTCTAGATGTCAATTCTTCAAAACAAGACAATGAAAAAAATCAAGTTAATACAATTGAAAATGTTGAAAATGTTGATACCATGGAAATAGTTGAAACCTGTTCAARTATTGATAATGGTACCTATATAATATACACCTACATTTATTTTTATTTTTTTATTGTAAATTAAAATGTTCCAGCACACTGAGTGCTAATAATAATAGTTTATAATAAATGTTATACGTAAATTTGAATTCTATAATTTTAAACAAGTACAAATTTTTTTTTACAGAGGCTACTGATATGTTTATAAAACCTAGAARTATTAATTTTACAAGCTTTTGGTCATTCCATCCTCATCAACCGAAAACCAACATTCCAYTCAGACCTTCAAAATTGTACAACCGTAAGGATGGAGGTCATCGTAAATGGATATCTTATTGTGTTAAGAAAAAAGCTTTATTTTGCAATATATGTCTTTGTTATGGTGATGGTTTTGGAACATTTTCTGTCTGGAAACATGTATATGAGCGAGTCAGTGATCACGAAGAAACAATAACACACAAATTAAATKTTGATGCTCATTTGATGAAAAAGCAATTTTCCTCAGTGGATTCACTTTTAACACACGGACTTGGTTCAATAAGAAAAATACAAGTTGAAAACAATCGAAATGTATTACTTCGTCTTATTGATGTGTTAAAGTTAATTGGAAAGCGCGGATTAAGTTATAGAGGTAAAACAAATGAGGCTGCTTATTCACTCGACGATTCTTCCTTAGACCATGGCAATTTTTTGGAAATAACTTTACTTATTAGTAAATATGATTCCTTGCTTAAATCACATTTAGATAAAGTTGTAAAAAAAAGTTTAAAATGTCATAATTCTGGAGCCCAACAAGGAGGAGGTCAAGTTACTTTTTTATCAAAAACTACAATTAATTATATTCTTGAAATTATTGCTAAAAATATCAAATTTACAATTTCTAATGAAGTGAAAGATGCTGTAATATATTCTGTACAACTCGATACAACACAAGATATATCTGTTACAGATCAATGCTCAATGATATTAAGATATGTAAATGGTACATCTGTCTTTGAAWGATTAGTTGGTATGGTAAGGTGTAGCTCAAGTAAAGGCTCCGATTTTGTTGAGTTACTCTTAAAAGTTCTCAAAGATATGAATCTAGACCCGAAATGCTGTATAGGAAACGCAACCAACGGAGCTGCAAATATGCAGGGAGTTTATAATGGATTTTCCACAAAAATGAGCGAAGCAGCAGTTGAACAAGTACATGTATGGTGTTATGCACATGTATTAAATTTAGTTATTAGTGATATTACAAGCAAAATTGTCCAATCTATTTCTTTGTTTGGTATCTTGCAAGGATGTGCGGTATTAATATGTGAGTCATATAAACGTATGGACATATGGACAACCAAAAATTCCAAAAAAAAAATATGTACTATGGGCGAAACAAGATGGTGGTCCAAAGATGCAGCATTGACAAAGGTTTTTGGAMAATTTAATGAACCCGAAAATGGATTGTATGTTGATCTCATAACTACATTAGATGAAATTGAAAACAATTAAGGTATAACTCCAGATGCTCGATTCAATGCAAAAAATTTAAAAGAAGGTTTGTTAAAATATGAAATTATTTTAACTGCCCAAATGTACTTGCGAATTTTTAAAAAAAACCACTCCTCTATCAAAATATTTACAAGGGCATGGAGTTAATATAATTGCAGCTTATCAAATGGTGAAACAAACTTTGAATGATTTACAAGACTGTGCCCGCCAATTTCAATGTATAAAAGAAGCAGCCAATACTTTTGTTGAATATAC